TCTACTATAATGCCAGCAAAGCATTGACATGAAACCATTGAAAAGTGGCATTAAAAAAAGCTGCGGTATCTTTAAATCAGCAAAAGCTGTGAAAACACTGTTGACCTTCCTCTTTGGTTGATAAATTAATCTTTGTGTTCTGGGACTGGGAGGGAGAAGGAAGGCAGCCAAGCAGCCTCCAGCTTGTCTCTTCTCATGAGTGTCAAAGCTAATAGAAAAGGAGCTTGAGTACCCCATGGGCATTTCAGGAGTCATCACCTGAAAATCTGCAGTGCCAGAACTGCTCGCCACACAGCAGAGCTCGCCGACATTTAAAGCTGTCAGTCAAATTGCTGTCTTCACTTCGCAGTTTGCTGCCAGCCTGCTGTCTGGCATTTTCAGTTTTACTGCTCGAGCACCTTGCTGCCAACTCTTAAATTTGCATGGCAAATGGTGCTGGGAATAACCTCAGCAGCAAAAATTCCACAGTTCAAGCTCTCTGCCTTGCTGCTTGTTTAACAGCAGAAATGGAGGGGTGTGCAGAGCATTGTCCCATCTCTCCCAATACAGAAAATGCATTTAAGTGAAGAAAAATAATTGCTGCTGGCATGTCAGATGGTTATAGGAGCAATCGTGGAGTGGGATCGCATCCTTCAGTGGCAGCGTGTGGGGTAACCGGTACACTGGGATGGGCTGACCGGGTGTGATGACTCCTTCTGTCTCCAGACTTCAACTCTCGCACAGTGCTGTGGTTTCAAGAGCAATGAATAAGTTGGCATTTTGCTTAAACTGAAGGGGTGTATTTTAAGTCACGGTTGTCCACTCCATTTGGGTGTCCTTGTTTCAATACCTGCACAGTCAGAGCTGCGTTGACCCTTTGGGGATGATGGTGCTTTACTTGTGCTGCTTCTCTTGCCAGGGTGAAATAAAACAAAAGTGACAACAGTCAGTGGCAGCCGGAGTGCCTGTGATGGAGAAGAAGGTGCTTGTGTCACTCCTCGAAGACGCAGTGGGACTCGTTTTACGAAGAAACAATTCAAGGCCTGAGCAAAAATGGCTATTCAGTGACGCTATGCTGCCCTCACGTGGGTATTCTAGAAATATCCCAACATTCAATCCCGACCTGCACTAATATAATGCTTTCAAACTCTTGGGCATCTCCTCCAAGAAAGCCCCTTGCAATCACAGTGATTTTTTTAAACCGTTCCCACGGCCCGCCCAGCCTCTGGAGGGTGAGGCCGGGGGGAAAGGAGGAGATCCTGCCTGCCCGGCCTGGGGAGGCTGCGGCCAAGGCCAGGATCTCCACCCGACACTGGGGCTGGCTCTGAAGGGGTCACTCGTCAGGCTGTGGCCCCCCGGGACCGAGAAGCTCCCGAACCCGC